ATTTATTATGCAACCCTAGATAACTGGAAGAGGGGGCAACTATAGATCATTAAACAACAATCAGTAAAAACATGGAAGATGGGCCGGCACTGTGGCACAGCAGGTTAAGCTGCCATCTGCTGTGCTGACAGCCATATGAGTGCTGGTTCGAATCCCAGCTGCTCTGCTTCTGATCCAGCTCCCTGCTAACGGCCTGGGAAAGCAGTGGAAGATGGTCCAAGTGCTCAGGCCCCTGCACCCATATGGGAGACCAAGAAGAAGTCCCTGGCTCTTGGCTTTGCCCCCGCTGTTGCAGCCATTTGGGAAGTGAACCAGTGGACGAAAGATGTCTTTGTCTCTATGTCTCTCTTCTCTCTCTCTCTTCAACTCTGACTTTCAAATAAATAAGTAAATCTAAAAAAAAAAAAAAAAGACATGGAAGATTTGTAAGAGAAAATTACAAGAATGACAGATTACCTGTTATCAAGAGTCCTAAAGGGGTACAAATCAATGTACATGTGATAAAGATTCATGCCTGTAAAATGATGAAGTAATGGACACCTCATCTTCTACTTCATTTTCCCAATATGCTGTTGGCTGTTGGTATTGTTTCTCCTATGAACAACTGCCGATTTCTGAATGCCTTCTGTAGTCCAGTGTGCTGCTGAAAGTGCTGCATACACACATCCCACTTAATCTCATGAAGCCTCAGCCTTTCCTATGTCAGATGAAGATGGTCACACACAGCTTGCCGGGCCCTTGCCCAGGTTTTCTCAGCTAAGCAATTTCAGAGTCAGAAATTGCATACCCAGATATCTGCCTCCAAAACCATCTAAACATCTAAACATAAAAAATATCTGTAATTAAAAGCTGAAATAAAGAAAATCTTAACTCAAAGGGATGTTTTTATTTTTGTGTAGTTTCTTTTTTAATCAGAGGTAAACAGAAATTTTACAACTGAGCAGGTCAAATGGCAGATAGTGTGTTAAGATTGAAATGATTGGGGCCGGCACTGTGGCATAGTAGGTTAAGCCTCCACCTCCATCACCAGCATCCCATATGGTTGCCAGTTTGAGTCTCAGCTGCTCCATTTCTGCTCCAGCTCCCTGCAAATGCACCTGGGAAAGCAGTGGAGGATGGTCCAAGTCCTTGGGTTCCTGCACCCATGTGCGAGACCCAGAAGTTCTTGGCTACTGGCTTCATATTGGCCAAGCTCCAACCATTCTGGCCATTTGGGGAGTAAACCAGCAGATGGAAGACCTTTTTCTCTGTCTCTCCTTCCCTCTGTCTATAACTGTGCCTCTCAAATAAATAAATCTTTAAAAAAAAAAAAGACTTAACTGATTGGCCAAGTTAATAATTAAGTAGATTCACCGAAGCTTTCAAGATCACTAATCTTAGTACTGATTATTAAATAATCATGAAAATAGCTGTTGGCATCTGCTAGGCAATAAAAACGATCATTTTTATGAAGTTCCATTTCTAGTAGAAAATCTGTTGATGAATTTGAATTTCCCTCAGTCTGCTTCAAAAGTCTCAGTAACTTCTCCTTGAATTAATATCTATTATTTTCAATATTTTTTTTCACAGGCAGAGTTAGACAGTGAGAGAGAGAGAAAGGTCTTCCTTCCATTTGTTCATCCCCAAATGGCTGCTATGGCCGGCACGCTACACCAATCTGAAGCTAGGAGCCAGGTGCTTCTTCCTGGTCTCCCATGGGGTGCAGGGCCCAAGCACTTGGGCCATCCTCCACTGCACTCCCTGGCCACAGCAGAGAGCTGGATTGGAAGAGGAGCAACCGGGACAGAATCCGGCACCCCAACCAGGACTAGAACCCAGGCTGCAACTAAGCCCACCAATGCTGTAACCATTCATGTATGATGCTTATGAACCTATAAATATTGTCAGAATCCTGGAGTGGATGCCCAGTCTTGGGAAGTGATTCCTCTGGGCCTGTCAACAATAAATTGTTTCTACTGATCCTCCACTGAGCCTCTGGTGCCTGTTTCAACTAAGGGAATTTCTCCAATCCAGCTTTCTGTAATGCCACGTGGGAGCAGGGACCCAAGGACTTGGGCCATCTTCTGCTGTTTTTCTAGGCACATTAGCGGGGAGCTGGATTGGAAGTGGACAGCTGGGACTCAAACTGGCGCACACATGGGATGTGTCACAGGCAGTGGCTTAACCCTGCTGCACCACAGCACTGGCCCTATGGCAAGGATTTTTTTTTTTTTTTTTTTTTTGAGAGAGGTAGAGTTACAGAGAGTGAGAGAGACAGAGAGAAAGGTCTTCCTTCCGTTGGTTCACCCCCCCAAATGGCCACTACGGCCGGCACTGCGCCGATCCGAAGCCAGGAGCCAGGTGCTTCCTCCTGGTCTCCCATGCGGGTGCAGGGGCCCAAGCACTTGGGCCAGCCTCCACTGCCTTCCTGGGCCACAGCAAAGAGCTGGCCTGGAAGAGGAGCAACCGGGACAGAATCTGACACCCATATGGGATGCCAACACTGCAGGTGGAGGATTAACCTAGTGAGCCACAGTACGGACCCCGCAAGGATTTTAAAGTGAGGGATTCTATGAGCTGTAAATTGTTGTTCTTGGCTGAAACATTGATGGCCGTTCTTCCCAGAAGTTCTTGTCATAAACAATGTTGTGTGTGTGGGCAAGTTTCCTTGATAATAAGGTTATGTTAATAAAGACAATGAACTAGTAAGTTTTTACTGCTATAGATAGTGGGCTGTGTGTGTCGGGTGAAGCAGGAGTGGATGGTTTGTATTCTCAGTTTATTCCTTGCTCTCTCCCAAGGTTTCTTTCCTAGTCAGCATCCTCATTTGAAATACCTAACCTAGTGAGAGGTTTTTTTTGTTTTATGTTAGATTTCATAGAAACTTTGCAACACCTTCAACCCCAAGTCCTTGATGTCTGCTCCAGTTTTCACAACAATAAAGCCATTATTTATAGAACTCTCAACTGTATAAAAGCCATACAAAAAACTCTTACGGATATTATATAATCCTCAAAAGAGCTCAAAGAATGAGATGCCTTTATTGTCTGTGTTTACAGATGAGAAAAATATGACCCACGAGGTAGGTCAAAGATGTTGTCCAAACTCACAGAGCCAGAAGTGGCAGAGCCGAGATTCTGTTGCAAACGCATCTGACCATTCAGCAATAAAAGAAGCAAACCATTGACACACACTACAGTGTGAATAAATCTCACATTGTGCTGAATGAAGTGAGGCAGACAAGCAAAGACTACCTAGCACCTGATTCCACTTATGTGAAATGCCTAGGTAAAGCTAATTCACAGAGCTGGAAAACAGGTCATTATTTCTAGGACTGAGCGAAGGAGTGGGATTTACTGGAAATAAGACTGTGGTCACCTTTGTCAGGATGGAAATGTTCTGAAGCTTGAATGTGATAATGCTTGCACAGTTCTGTACACTTAAGAAAATATCACTGAACTATATACTTACAGGGCATAAATTTTATAGAATATAAATTCTCCTTCCAGAAAACTGTTCTTTCTATTTTTTTTTTTTTACAGGCAGAGTTAGACAGAGAGAGACAGAGAAAAAGGTCTTCTTTCCATTGGTTCACCCCCCCAAATGGTTGCTATGGCCAGTGCACTGCACCGATCCAAAGCCAGGAGCCAGGTCCTCCTGGTCTCCCATGATGCGGGTGCAGGGCCCAAGGACCTGGGCCATCCTCCACTGCCTTCCCAGGCCACAGCAGAGAGCTGGACTGGAAGAGGAGCAACCAGGACAGAACCCGGTGCCCTGACTGGGACTAGAACCCAGAGGGCCAGCGCCACAGGTGGAGGATTAGCTTAGTGAGCCATGGCGCCAGCTGAAAACTATTCTTAAATAATTTCAAGAAGTCAGATTCTAAGTTTGCTAATTGGCACCATCAGTAACTGGGCCCATACTCCTAGAGGCATCAAGCCCCAGTCCGCTCCATAAGCTGAGAGGCTGCAAGTCTTACTTGGTTCCTTTATACTCTTCATAGAGGCATTGGCTGCATCTTTAAGCTCTTTCAGCCAGTGTATACATATTGAATACATTCATTTTACCAGTGAGAGCCTATTTCCAAAAGTCACTAATGTAACTAATGCTAACTATGCATTCTTTTCTTTTCTTTTTTTTAAGTTTGACAGAGAGAGGAGCAGACAGAGATAGTCAATTTGCTGGTTCACTCCCCAATTGCCACAACTGTTGGGGCTGAGCCATGCCAAAGGCAGGAGCCAGGAACTCAATCTGGGTCTCCCATATGAGTGACTGAGACCCAATTAGCTGAGCCATTACCTGTTGCCTCTCAGGGTGTGCATTCTCAGGAAACAGGAAACAGGAGCACAGTGCAGGTTTGAACCCAGACACTCTGCTAGGGGATGTGGGGATCCCAAGTGGAGTTGTAACCACTGTGCCAAACGCCTGCCCCAAGTGTGCATTGTTGATTAGCACTATATAAACCCAAGTATGTAAGTTACAGACATGACATCGGGCTGTATATGTTGGAGACTCTCAGATTACTAACACTCCAAAATAATGCCCAGTGACTGTGATGACTCACTTCTCCCACTGCATCTGCAACAGCAGTGTCACAACCTCTCTGCCCCTCTTGCAATGCTTGCATCCATTGTGTAATCCACCCAACCTCCCCTGCCAGTGCACACGCTCTCAGCAAGGACACTTGCTATGGTTCGAATAACTAAGATATTTGTCCTCAACTCCTCATAAAACCACTAAATGGGAAAAGAAAACCTTCGAAACACAGTGGAGAGAAAGATAGCCCAGAAACCCAAATGGGCTGAAACCAAGCCAATGAAGGGTGAGGGCTGAATAGCCATGGTGTCCTCTAAGGACCCAGGAGTAGCTCACTACTGACCCCAGCAACAGCGGGCCCCATGGCACCATGAAAATCCATATGCTTCTCCTGGGCACTTGCGAAGCCTGCTTTATGTTGTTTGGTCTTTTGTAAGAACAGAAATGGATGTCTCGCGATAACTGTGTTCCTTGTAACTTTACAGAGAAATTCGGAATACCAGAAGCTTAACTTACATAGACCCTGATGCCCTAAAAGAACTCCCCCTCCTAAAGTTCCTGTAAGTATCAACTCCTCTTCCCTCTCCCCGCCCCCCCCCTTTTTGAGAACTTCAATGCCGTCGGCTGCTTAGAATCTCCCTAGGCTAATGTGACCCATGGTTATTTAATTGTGTATGGCCTGGGTCAAATCCTAGCTTGTGACTTACTCCCCACCCATTCTTGTTGTGCGAGGTATGAAGGGAAATGGCCCACATTTTTAAAATCTATTCAGTAGTCAGTACATACAGCTGGGACCAGAGAACTTCTCTAAGAGACATGCAAGGAAGCTTCAAGAAGTTTGTGAGAAGTGGACTAAACTAAAAGAATATAATATATAGTTAATACTGTATATACAGTCATCAAATGTAGTGACCATAAACAAAACAAAACTCCAAGAGTCAAAGAATGAATTTTGTTTGGAAATGAGTATCATAACAATATTAGAGTAGTTGTTCATAGCGAAAACATAAAAATCCATAAAAGGTAAAATCCAATTTCTTAGGGGTGCAAGGACAAAGGGTGACACTTTACTACTTTGATCTGGCAACACCTTATGAGCTGATTGTAAACTGCATAAAAGCAAGGACCACAACATGTTTGTTCTCTGTTGCATTTTCACCTGGCACATAACAGGATGATATGAATGTTTTCAGTGGATGCGTGTTAAGACATCAGGCCCTCTCAACATTAGCTGAAAGAATCCTCTGTCTTGCTAATATACATCAGAAAAATTAGAAAACAAAGACAGTAAGAAGAAAAAAATAAAAACAAACCTCAATCCCAATATTGGGAAATAATCACTATTAACATTTCAGTTCACTTCCATCCATGCCTTTAACATAAAACTGCATATTTATAGATGTCTTACAAGTCATTCAGGACAAATAGAAGTTATCCAGGAAGAGAAAGGGGTGGGATAGAAGAGAAATAAAATTATATAGAAAAGAATGATAAAGTGATATGGAGCCACATAGCTCATTTAGAGGACTAAAAATTGTCCCATGTTGAGGTTGTAGGACTGGGAGATAACAGGAGAATAGATGAGGATACTGGTGAGCTATGTAATTGAAAGGATGTCCTGGAAGTAAGAAAACTTATGGGATAAGGCACGGCTCCTCTTTGTGATTTTGAGTTCCAAACCCATCAATAGGTCTTTAATATGAGATCCCCTCCTGTGTGCATGGGGAACACCCAGGGTGCTAAGATGTTGTCCTTGCTTTCAAGGAGCTTGGAATTTATTTGGGGAGATGCTATACATAAAATGCAAAAGTCTCTCTCCTACAGAATCATGGAAAATGAAAAACAAAAAGCATATACAGAGTTTAGGGGTTCAGGAAATTAGAGGGAAAAAAATGACAAGGACTTGTTCAGTGTTTTGGGGAATATAGAAGTTCTCAGGGCAGCAGTTAAGACACCCACATTCCAAATCCAAGTACTTCGGTTTGATCCCAGCCTCCTGCCCCCGATTCCAGTTTCCTGCTGGTGCAGACTCTGAGAGGTAGCAGTAAAGGCTCAAGCGGTTGGGTTCCTGCCGCCCCCCCCCCCCCCCAGGAAGCCTGAATTCAGTTTCCAGCTTCAGGCTTTGGTCCCCAAGCACCACTGAGGGCATCTGAGGAGTGAGCCGGTGAGTAGGAGCACGTGCTCTCTCTCTCCCTCTCACATTTTAAAAAGTATTATAATTAAAAAAAAAAAATCTCTGGTGCAAGTTCCTTTAATCTCTCATTCCCAGCCTTTTATGGCCCCCATTTAACTTTTTGGCCTTTCTTCCCCACCCCCCCAAAGAACACCTAATGCAATTAGTTTTTTTTTTTTTTCTTGCTGCTGTATTTCAAATATATATTGTGAAATCTGACATCTCTCCTTTGTTATTTAGAAGTTCCATTTGCTCATTTTGAGACTTCTGGGTCCTGCTCTCTCTTCAAATCCTATGACTCCTCCTTCTTGAAAGAGTCAAATCTGAATTTACCTTAGAAGGTACATCAATTGAACTAGAGTTTTTTCCTACTAGAAGACTTTCCCTAAAGATTTACTGGACAGTTTCTGGGTCTCACTCTATGCCATGCCAAGCCTCTCAAAAAATATTTCTGCTTCCACTACCTATAATCTGTTAGCTGCAACAAACGTTAAACCAACTAAATCTGGGAAGCATAGGGGCCTGAGGTCTTTTGTATTTGTGTTGTTACAGGCATGGCTTTTAATCTTAGCATTTTTCCCCAGATGACACAAACTTTGGAAGGTAAAGACATTCTCTGTGATTGATTTCCTTACTGTTCAGGACATAAGTTTTTAAATATCACTGCTGCAGTGGTACTCCTAAGTCACTACTTAATAAAATCATTTGTGAACAATAATAGAATTTGGGGTTGGCTAACACTATCTTCCTATTCCCTCTTCCTCTTATCTCTCTGAAAAACACACATGCATAATGTCCTCCTGTTAAAACACATGAAAGAAACCTGTCCACTTGATTCAGTCCCCACAAGTGTTCTGTGCACAGCAGATGCGCGGCTGCAGTGGGCTAGATGAAATCAGTGTGCCTTCAGAGAACAGCATCTCATCACAGGTTAGAACTTGACCAGTCACTCTGAAATTTAGTGGAAGAGTTAAGATTTGACTCAAGACTGATCTCAGAACCCATGCTTCCAGATACTGTGTTATTCTACTTCCTAAGTGTTGATTTTAATCTAAATTGTCATTTTTTTTCTTTGTTCATGTCATTTAGTGGCATTTTCAATACTGGACTTAGAATATTTCCTGACCTGACCAAGGTTTATTCTACTGATGTATTCTTTATACTGTAAGTATGCACACATGCAATGTTTGGTCATATTTTGTTTGTCACTGACAAGAGCTAGGGTGCAGCACGGGGCTTGGTTCGTGGAGGAAGCAGTGATCCTGGGACTGCACTGATGGGTGAAATAGAGCAGGACTGAGAAGTGGCCCCTGCCTGTCATGCTTTGGGGCACTGGTGACTCTCACAAGAAGTGTACAGGCGGAGTTACAGGCGTAGGGAAATCTGGATGCAGTGGACTCAGAGAGAATTAGAACAGAATTAGCAAGAGTGATGATAACCAAGTTTATTGAGAAATTTCACATTAAAAATGACTAGAAAATGCCCCAATAGTTGGAAGGCTGCAGATGAAAATATTTTGTTGTTAAAGGAAACAGACTATGAAATGTTTGCTTGCTTATGGGGTTGATTGAATAGAAGGAAAATTTAATGATGATGATGTTTGTTTTTCTGATAGTTTTAAATAGCTTTTCAAAGAGTCCACACGCATCATGTTTGCTGCACTCAAATGCCTCATAATATATAAAAGGAAGTCACTGTTTGCCCATTTGACAAATAAGGAAACTGAGGGATAGAAAACCCATGTTAGTTTGTCTGAGTAGAGTCCTAAGGAACAGTCAGGAATGGTGCTCAAACAACCTCCCATGAGGGTCAGGCATCTGGCCTAGCATTTAAGAAACCACATCCCAGACCACAGTGCTTGAGTCAGAGTCCCAGTGCTGCTCCCAAGACTCTAGCTTCCTACCACTGCACAGTCTGTGAGGCAGCACCGATGGTCCAAGTAACTGGGTCTCTGCAGCCCATGTGGGAACCCTGGATTCCTGACTCCCAGCTTCAGCCTAGCCAAGGCCCAACTGCTGCAGACATTTAAAGAGAGAATGAGGGGACGGAAGCACTCACTCTTGCGCTTTCTCTCTGCTTCTCACATAAACATATAAAAGGAAAACTACTTCCTTTAACTTATGGTTGGTGACCATGTGCTCTTTTCCAAAACCTGTGACATGGGTCAATTGTCTTAGCTAATTGTACAGGAAGAACACATGCAGAGAGAATTGAACAGGTTCAGTTTGCACTACAGAGATAGCAAAATGTAGAGAGGTGGCTTTTAAAATCTAAAGTTTTTCTAGAAAAAAATACGATCATGTTCTTTGCTGCAGAACAATCCAAAGTATAAGGAATCTTCCAGAAGCTAGACTGGTGGAGAAAGTTTCTCCAAGAGCATCTGCCAGGCAGAATTCTGCAGACTGAGAACATTGTAGAAAACTCACGAAATAAAATCTCTGGATCAATTTCTCCTGACTCTTCCAGGCACATCGGAAACTGTACTTGATGGGTGCAGTCAGAGATTCCAGGGAAGTCTGTGAGCTCCACCTACTTCCCCTAAGATAAGGATGAAGTCAAGGGCCTCAGTCCACAACCAAAGCTGGCTCACTACTGCACACCTGGGGCACTAAGTTTATCTCCACATAGGACAGCTCTCCCTACCTCACCAGATCTCTGAGTCACCAGTGCTTAAGGAGAGTCAATAAAACTTGAAAGAAAATTATATTAAGCTGTATATGTCAGGTTACTTAAGTGCATATGTGTGACAAGAGCCCAGCAGTAGAAGAAAGCATTATTTCATCAAGTATTTTTTCTGGTTCTTTTTTGTCCTTTCTTACAGTGAAATCACAGACAACCCTTACATGACTTCAATCCCTGAAAATGCCTTTCAGGGACTGTGCAATGAAACCTTGACGCTGTGAGTATTACCAGTTCCACTCCTGCCAACAAATTCACTTCACCTGGAGCCATTGTCGTATTTTTACAGGCCATCCAAGAATCATACCATAATATGTGCACCATAGTGTTCAAAGGCTGTCACATAAGTAAGAGTAGTGCCTGCAAGCGGCCTGTTTGGCCTTAGAGACTCTAGAGCCTCTGTAGCAACTGCGCTTCTTTGCCATTGTAAGACAACAGCAGCCACAGACAACACATAAACTAATGAGCATGCCGGCGTTGCAAAAAATGTTATTTACAAAAACAGGCAGTGGACCAGATTTGGTAATATTCTGCATTCAAGTATGTCCATTCTGCAGAGGAAGAACCTGTAGAACAAATTTAAATGATTTCCCCGAGGCCACTGAGTTTGAAAATGGTGACACGAAGGGGTTTTCATATTCTGCATTCATACGTTTGCTCAGTAATATTTAAGCTCCTATAAGGCGGTATTGAACAGAAAACACAGTTCAGCAATACATCACTGTTTTTCCAGAGATTCATTGAATTCTACCTCTAGCTATTCAAGGTTGATGTTTAATCAGAAATATTCACAGATGTTCTCATGGGGAAAATAATATAAGTAAAAAAGGTAAGTTGATTTTCCAAGTTGTTAGAGGATTCCGTGCATTGTATTAGTTACAAAGTTGAGCTGGGACTAGCTCTGATGGCTCCTTTCTGCTTGTAGCACCACTGTCCAAGTCTGAGACTGATGCATTTTTTGCCTTGATTGTCACCCCAGCTCCCTTTCATTGGTCCCACTGTAGTCCAGGGGTTCTTTTTCAATTACAAATCTGATTGAACTGCTTCCTAGCAAAACTAGCCCAATTCTCCACTTAACTCTTCTAGTAAGTTGTTTTCCAAGCCACTCCAAGTCTATCAATTTGAGTCATATGAAGTTGTCCCAACTCCAGGGACACAGTGGATAATCAGCTAATCCTTCTCCTCACAATATGAGGACAGCTCTCTTGATAATATGAGGAATTCCTTCTTGGTCTTTATCTCTTTTGTTAGCATAGAAAAGACATGGGATTGTCCCCAAATCCCAAGGCCATTTACTTTCTCTGTAAGGGTTTCCCTTGTTAGAGTTAGTAGCCATCATAAGTAAATTCCTGTATTCTCAACTTCTTTGCAGAATGTTACTTTCATCTCTTGGCACTTTTTCCCCTTAAGGATCCCATAATCCAAGCAGCCCTCCTAATTAAAAGCTGCTCATTGTCCCTCACCTAACTGGGGCCTACTTGGTAACCGCTAGGGAAGGGAACCTCCTATTGACTGAACTGTAGAGGTGGCAATGGCATAGGTTATCTTTCATCCCATCTTTTCAGATGATTATTTCTACATTTCTGCAAAAGTCCTTGCTTCTTTGAAGCTCATTTTCATGAAAAGGAACATGTCTAACAGCACCGTTTGCCCCCAGATTCCTGGTAGGCTAGAGCTTTATTCAAAGTTTGTATCCCTTTTTCTTACTTCTCTACTTTCCCTTCTCAAAACCTACTTGTTCATTAACAGTTTTCGTTCAATCTCTGAAATGTAACTCAAAGAATATTTCTAATATCCAGGACTCTCAATAAAGTTTGGGAAAAAAAAAAAAAGATGTAATCCTCATAAAGGAGTTCCAGTTCAGAAAAATATTGACTTACCCATCCGAACTTTCTCAGCCTCTGTGGCTGTGTCCCTGCGATATTGCGATCTGCACCAAGGACACCTTCAAAGCTGGGATGAAACTGTGTAATTACTTAATACAAAACAACAACAACAAAGCCATCTGATTATTTCTCAGTTATTCCCAATTATATAGATTAAATACAAGCTTTGGGATATTCTATTTAATGTGTTCTTCACTGCTTTAAATCTGCAGTTATTTTATCCTGGTAGCAACCTTTAGGTGAGGTAAGATACTCTTATGCCATTTTTAGAGACAAAGAAACTGAAGATAAAAGAGATGGAGAAATTCTCAAGATTGCCCAGCCATTAAGTGGCAAGTCAGGTCTAATTCCAAATTTGGCATCTTGTTGGTGCTTCTCCAGGCGTTACTAGAGTTCACATGTGGTAGATAATCATTTTTAATCTTCCTCTACACTTGCCATTAGGAGTTCCCAGCAGCTGTGGCTGACTGTTGGTCATGTCTGTCTTCTTTATCTCTATACCAATAACCACGAGGAGTCCCCATGCATCTCCATGGAGCCCAGCATTTCTACTCCTGGGGTGCCATCTGTGCAGAAAGGGGCTGAGCTTTTGGTGGGTGAGAAGAATTGTAAAGAGGTCAGCAAATCCGATTCCCACCAGCTCTAGATCAATGTGTTTTTAGCAAGTCACTTCCGTGCCTCTGTAACTTTACTAGGAAATGGAAGTGAAATATTTTATGCCAGCCCCCTGGAATCATCAGATGAATGAAATAGGTTGAGAAACACAGAAACAAGTTAAAACAATAAAATTTCCACACAAAAAAAATACCCTATCTACTTTCTTGTATTCTTCTATCAAATTTGATTTGCTTTATTCCATAACCATTAAGTATTTAATCAATGGTAAGTCTTCAGGATCAAAAGATAAAATACCAGTGGGAAATTACATTTCAAGTAGAAAAAGAGAAAATTTATGTATTCAGAGGAATGTCTTCCAAAATGTTCACTTTAAGAAGCTGCAATTACTCCTCTTCTGTTAACACTGAGCTATTACTTGGAATCCCTTCCCCAGCATGTATGTAGAGCGTTGTTCTAAAATGCTTGGTTCCTCAAAGTAAATGCACTTCTGAGGAAAAACTTAGTCTCCAGCAGCGAAGCCTGGAGAACAGGCTTTCAAACTGGGAAATATTTTTCGTCCCACAAAAAAGGCAGATTGTAAAATTCTCTCCTGGGGTACGTGTATGGGACCTGAAAAACATCATGCAGACTTGTGACACTTAAGAAATGAAGCCGAACCGTTCAGAAAAAGGGTCAGCATCACCCCTCCCAGGATGCTGATTTCTCCCCTTCTCTATTGATTGCAGGAAACTGTACAACAACGGCTTTACATCAATCCAAGGACATGCCTTCAATGGGACAAAGCTGGATGCTGTGTAAGTTCACGGTAGCCAAGGAAACTGCCATCCCTCCTCCCCACTCCACCCTGAGGAGAACCATCCAGGGTGTCAGGATCCTGCTGAGAGGTAGATTCTATCAGAGCAAGCCTCAACGAGACTTAGGAATAACACTGAGAAACTCGGGGAGTGCTAGCAGTAGTGGATACTTTCACTGGTTCCAGTTATAAACCCCAAAACTTTCATCCTCAATAAAACAGAACCATGGTGTCACCTTTAGTTATCCTGTAGGGGTGTATTTGTGAATATACCACATGAGTGAAGTAAAAGGGTGTATTTAAGCCCCAAATTTTTTAAAACATAAGCTTTCTCCTTTAGTCTTTTCTGTCATTTTATCAAGGAGGATGTCAATTTATGTTTGATTCACACAGAAATGCTGAAAAATCCTATCCAGCTCTAAAAATAAGCAATGCACAAGACAACTCAAACAGCAAACAGACTTTATATTTGACAACACTTCTTGAACATTTCTTTAACAACTGTTTTTTTAATTCCAGATGTTCTATTTTTCCCCGAATTAGCCTGCTCATGTTGAATTATTTTTAACTATTTTTATTTACTTATTTAAAAGGGAGAGAGCAAGAGCAAGAGAGACACACAGAAATAGAGAGCTGCCCTCAACTGGTTCACACCCCAAATATTCACAACTAAGCCAGGCTGAAGCCAGGAGCCAGGAACTCAACTCAGTTCTCCCACGAGAGTACCAGGGACCCAAGTACTTGAGTCATTGCCTGCTGCCTCCCAGGGGACGCACTAGTAGGAAGCTGGAATTGGGCGTAGAGCCAGGACTCAGACCTATGGACTCTGATATGGGAGGTGGGCATCCTAACTAGTGTCATAACCACTACACCAAACATTCCACCCTGCCGGCCATTTTTAATGCAGTTACAGGGAAACTCTGAAGACTCAGTAGAGTACATGAATGCCTGCACATCAAATTTATTTGCAGAATTGGAGAGCCTCTCCTTCATTTTAACTTTATTGTACTTACACAATCATTCATTTACTTTTTTTATTATTTTTTTTTGACAGGCAGAGTGGACAGTGAGAGAGAGAGACAGAGAGAAAGGTCTTCCTTTGCCCTTGGTTCACCCTCCAATGGCCACCGCGGCCGGCGCACCGTGCTGATCCGAAGGCAGGAGCCAGGTGCTTCTCCTGGTCTCCCATGGGGTGCAGGGCCCAAGCACCTGGGCCATCCTCCACTGCACTCCCTGGCCACAGCAGAGAGCTGGCCTGGAAGAGGGGCAACCGGGACAGAATCCAGTGCCCCGACCAGGACTAGAACCTGGTGTGCCGGCGCCGCTAGGCGGAGGATTAGCCTAGTGAGCCGCGGCGCCAGCCCATTTACTTTTAAACATATTTATTGAACACTTACAATGTGTCAGGCACTGTGCAGTACTCACTGGAAACAGAAAGATGAACAAAAACAATGTTTTCCCTGCCCATGCTAGACATATGTTAAAGTGAGGTCAGCTCAAGGCCACTGGTATCAAGGATCAAAGCATAGTAAGGAAAATGTACCCAATCTGAAATATACGTCTCAGAAAATAAATGACTGCTAATTATCCAGTAATACTGGCTTCCTTGTTTGGAGATAAAAATATGATTTTCTGTAAATTTGTCCCATGGGTTTTTTTTTAAATTAGTTAGCACTTGATTTAAACATTACAGGACTGCCACTCAATATTTTCCTCTTTGATTCTACTCCTCCTAAAAAGTCTAACACTTAGGGAAATGACTGTTCTTATTCAAATTTTCTGTCAATGAAGTAGGATATTGAGACTTAAAAAAAATAATTGAGGCTGTCCATCATGCATCCTTTGATGCTAGGGATGCATTCCAAGTTGCTTCCTTAGACAATTTTGTCATTGTGCAAGCATCAAAAAATGTGCTTACACAGGTGTGATGATACAGCCTACTGCACACGTAGGTACGTACAAATGGCATAGCCTATTACTCCCAGTGCCGTGATGAACAAAGCAACATGGGAGTTAAAGCAAGCACATGAGAAAACGATGCAAACAAGAGATGTAAACACAGGATATATGAGGCATATATAGCATACTATTTACAATAAGCTCTTCTTTAATAAACAGAATGAGTACACAGTAAAATAATGATAAAAAGTGGGGTGGGTATTTAGTCTAGCAGTTAAGATACTTGTATACTATATTAGGGGGCCTGGGTTCAACTCCTGGCTTTGGCTCCAGATTCCAGCTTCCTAATAATACAGATCCTGGGACAGAGTCATGATGGCTCAAGTAGTTGGGTTCCTGCCATCCATGTGGAAGACCCACACTAAGTTCCTAGCTCCTGACTTTGGCCCAGCCCAACAGATGCCTATTGTGGGCAACTGGGGACTAAACCAACTGATGGGAACTCTCATTTTCCTGTGTGTGTGAGTGTGTATCTGCTTCTCTAATGAAAAATGTTAATATATATAATGATAAAAGAACACAATAGTATAGTTACTGCAGAAACCAGTAACATGTTTATTTATTATGATGATCCACTATTATATACTCTACATAATCGCATATACTATACTTCTATATAGTTCACAGCATGGTAAGTTGGTTTATGCCAGCATCACCACAAACACATGACTAATGTATTGTGTTACCATGTTACAACAGCTACTATGTAGCTAGGCAATAGCAAATTTTCAATTCCATTATAATCTTATTTTTTTGACAGAGACAGTGAGAGAGAGAGAGACAGAGAGAAAGGTCTTCCTTTTTCTGTTGGTTCACCCCCTAAATGGTTGTTACAGCCAGTGTGCTGTGCCAATTCAAAGCCAGGAGCCAGGCATTTCCTCCTGGTCTCCCATGAGGGTACAGGGCCCAAGCACTTGAGCCATCCTCCACTGCACTCCGGGGCCACAGCAGAGAGCTGGACTGGAAGAGGAGTAACTGGGACAGACTGGTGCCCCAACTGGGACTAGAACCCTGAGTACCGGTGCTGCAGGCGGAGGATTAGCCTAGTGAGCCATGGTGCCAGCCCCATCATAGTCTTATGGGACTGCCAAAATATACGAAATCCATCACTGACTGAAATGTCATTTTCTGGCAAATGTTTGTACTTGGAATATAAAGATAGAAAAAGATTCCCAGGTGTTCCAAATGTCGAGAGTGTCAGAAGGCTAGCATTGTGGCCACAGAGCTACATTAGCAAAGGCAAGGACAGACATAGTGAGGAAGCCTTCAGTTGGGAAAGCAAGAGCTGACAACAAGGCTCTTGAGTTCAGTGACTCAGCTCTTCTAGCTTGAACCAAAGCTACTTTTCTGGAAAGCTGAATGAGAAGGAGGAACCAAAACCATGGGTATAGGGTGATTCATTTCTCAAAGCTTTCACAAGCAAAGGATGTTGAAGCCCAAGATAAGAATCTATACTTGGATGTATTTACTGCTTTATCTTGCCACATTTAGTCATTGGTAGACATGGCCCTCAGACATTCTGTTATCACTTTTTAAGGAAAGAGTTTTAAGTTATAAAACTCAGACTTTAAGATCTACAGAGCAATGGTTCTCACATTGGCTACAAATGGAGACCACCTGAGGAGCGCTGAAGGCATTGACACCTAGAACTGTACACCATTCTTATGTGGTTGATCTGGATGACACCAGGACAATGCTCTCTGTAGTAGCTTGAAAGGTGAAAACAGCCATAAGCAACACATGAACAAATGAGCATGGCTTTGTTGAAATAAAACTTTATTTACAAATACCAGGGGCAGGCAAGATTTGACTAGAAGGTCATAGTTCACAGAACTCTGGTCTAAATGAAGATGCTCAGTGAGGATGACCATTTTGTCATGAAATATGTAGTAAGTTTCTCCAAATTCCTGGTAAGGGTTAAAGGGCAAATAGGTGATGAATGTAAAAATCTGAACAAAAATATTTCAGGGTTGTAAAGTTCAGCTCTGATCATAAGAGAAAACAAAGATCTTTTTTCCAATCAATGTTTTGAATCCAAACTGGAAACACTATTCCCATTATAAAATAATTTTCTGTGTGTTCATTGTTTTATTCTAAGTTTCTGATTCCTGAATGATGGAATTTTTTATAATAAAACTTTACATCAGAAAAAGGTATTAAGTACATCCAATGTAAAAGTAAGACGATGGCCACATTGTGAAGAGCTCTTGGACTAGAGTAAGACAGGATTGAACTGTAGATAAAGGTAACAAAGGTCAAGTTTCCATAGTAATAATGAAATAGTATCTGTGTTTTTTTTTTATAAAGTGGTATATGGTTGTCACCACTTTTTTTTTAAAGATTTTATTTATTTATTTATTTGAGAGGTAAGGTTACAAACAGTGAGAGGAAGAGACAGAGAGAAAGGTCTTCCATCGGCTGGTTCACTCCCCAAATGGCCGCAACGGCCAGAGCTGAGCTAATCCGAAGCCAGGAGCCTCCTCTGGTCCCCCATGTGGGTGCAGGAGCTGGACTGGAAGTGGAACGGGCAGGACTAGAACCGGCGCCCATGTGGGATGCTGGTGCCGCAGGCGGAGGATTAACCTACTGTGCCATGGCGCCGGCCCCTCTGTGGTGTTTTTTAAGCTAGGCAAGTTGCTTCTGGTTTCAATGGCAGTTGTGATTTTAAAGTAAGGTAAATACAACTTAATAGTGTTCAAGGACTGGCATATAGCATATTGTTAGCAATTTGGTCACCTCTCCAGATGTGTGTTCAGATATCTTTAGGTTCTAATTTAAGTAAGGTGTCAGCCCAAAAGCAATCATTCCTTGCCATCCCCCCTCATGCCATCTTGCTGAAATTAGCAGGTTTGACCTCATTTACACTCATTTTTAGAGTGTAACGGAGTAACATTATTAAAGCCAAGTTGGACAGATTCCACCCTCGGTGCAAGTGCTGATGCTTCAGCAGCAATTCAGTAATTAGTGGGAAGTTCACGAAAGTGATGGCAGATGTGTAAAGCATGTCCTGTGATTTCACAGAGAGCCAAGCATGTTGTCATC